GGCGGCGGCGGCGTGTGCGCAGACCGGTTGCGCCGTGGACGCGTGCGTTGTCTAGATTCTTTGTGCCATTCCTGGCATACCAAAAACAGAGCGCAGCCAGGCCGCCCCGCGCAACCTCTCCTGCACGGCTCCACTGTCGTCCCTCGCACCCGAGCGCCGCTATTTCGCGCGCGCGCGCACGCGGCTCTCGGTACGCTCTTCGCCTGCGGCTGTGTGTCTATGTGTGTGAGTTCGCAAGCTCGCGCGTCGCGATTCATGCCCGTCGACGACGACGGCCAACAGCAACGGCAGCAGAGGCAGCGACACGGCGGCGGCGTTTACTACCCGCGCACACTTGTTTATGCACCAGCTCGGCGTCCGCCCGAAAACGCACGCACATAGACGGTGGAGCGTAGGCGCGCGCCCGGTTCTCGAAGTGGGGGCGTTCCGCGATTGCACGCGTGTGCGTAAGACCTGCGGCCGCGCGCTGCTGCCGCCAGCCCAGAGCCGAGGGCAAGAGTGAGAGCGCGTCGTCCTCGCGCGCGTCCACCCTGAGGAAGCAGCCGTAGCAGCCTTTGAAGCAGCCTCAGCAGTTGTAGCAGTAGCAAAGTCCCGTGTGTGTGAGCTGCGCGCGCGCGCGCGTGTGTGTACGTGGACGGTTCACCGGTGCGCTAGTCGACTGGTTCGGGCCCCGAGTACCTCGGCCAGTGCTTTCTCGCGTGTTCCTTCGAATTTTCTCCTGGGAACAGAGTGTCTACTCGGGAGTGCCGACTAACAGGAGTGCCAAGATAGGACCGAAGAAACGGATAGAGAGCAAGAGATAGAGAGAGTGCGAGAGAGCGAGATAGGGGGAGAGAGAGAGGGCCAAGAGATAGAGAGAAAGGGCGGGAGTGAGAAGGTGGCGGAGAAGGTGTAGAAAGAGAGCGAGGGAAGAGGGAACGACGTGTGTCTACGGACGTACGCGACCGAGAGTCTCCGACGAGGCGACCCACGTCAGCTCGACCTGTGGTGAGTACAACATGAACCGAGTGTCCACCATTTATACGTACATGTACGGTACATGCGAATGCCATGTCCACACACTCGCCCGCTCACGGATAACTTTCTCTGTCTCGCGCTCGAGGCTTGTGAATGAGCGCGAGTATGAGAAAGAGGGTGCGAGAGCGAGACAGCGTAATAGAGAGAGAGAGAGAGAGAGAGAGAGAGAGAGAGAGTGTGAGCGAACGTGTACGAAAGGGAGCGCGCGGGAGAGAGGGCGAATGAGAGAGAGAGAGACAGAGAGAGAGAGAGAGAGAGAAGCGCGCGAACGCGCCGACGCCCGACGTCGACGTCTCGTTTCGTCCTTGTCGCCGATATGCTCGCACTCGCTTTTTCCATTGCATGTACACTCTTACGGCTTTTATGTGTGTGACGCGATTTTTCACTGCCTTTTTTACCGTTCTTTTAAAGCTGATTTTCACGGCGAGTCTGTCGAGGAAAGCCAAAAGAAGGACATTGGGTGGGAGAGACAGAGAGATAAATACAGCAAAGAACTTTCGTCGCGGTTGTTTTTTCACTTCCTCGCGATTGCATCCCGGGGAGATCTTGAAGCGAGCGAGAGGTGGAGGCTCGACGAATGATGGTGAGGAAGGGTGGGAGTGAGTCAGTGAGAGAGAGAGAGAGAGAGAGAGAGAGAGAGAGTGAGAGAGTGAGAGGTCGAGCAAGCGAAAGGAAAGGAGAGGGAGATATAGGCGAGGAACAGGTTGAAGCTGAGGCTGTTTTAACTCTCGAGTCTCTTTTATGAACGGCGTGTGTACTCGAATATGTTGCAGGGATATTTCGAACTGTTAACAGGTGATTTATTTCCTGCCTTTCATACTTTCTTGGTGAAGCTTTTTACCTCGACGTTAAATTCGAAAGTGAGAAGTTGCATCGCCGTCAACACTAACATCTAAGGCCATTCAAGGATTACGATTATTTTTTGGGAGTATTTTGATTCATGTTTTGTAATGTTTATTTTTTTTTTTTTTTTTTTTTCCATCATATCCAAGATCTACAGACATATACGTATATGACGTATTTATACATATATTTGTGAGAGTATAAGCCAAGCTCGTTTGATAAACTGCAATTCTTTTTTTATTTTTTTATTTTTTATTTAGTGACAAATAGAAATTTAAAGTGTTATTAAGAATTAATTACACGTGATTCAATGGATCTCATACATTTTCCTGATGTCTGAGCAAAATTTAATTAGAAGAAAGACGTGAATTGTGATAAGGCTTATAATATATATCTTCCTCTTCTTCCTCTTCTTGTGATTATTATTATTATTATTATTATTATTATTATTATTATTATTCATTACTAGACAGAATTAGATTTTTAAAACATTCGATAAGTATTCTATTATATTTAGCATGTAAATGAAAAGTAATTAGGAGCATCATTTAATTTGTTTAGTAAATAATTATTTTTACACAAACACACAAACACACACATACACACACGCGTGCACACGCACACATATAATAATTATTATTTTGCAATCTAGAAGATTTCATTTGTTGATATTATATTTAGCTTTTGGACAATTGAATTGAATTTCGAAGGAATAATTGGTTTTTATTATTTTATTCCTACTTCAGACTCTACATTTCACAATCAGACTTTACTACGGTATTTTACCTCTAAACAATCAATCTATGATTTAGCGACGATATTTTCCATATGAAAATCAATTATGAAATTATTTATTTTTTTAAATAAACATTGTATATTTTTCCAACGAACCTCTTTTGCAGATACACACACCCAATACACACACCCAATACACCCACCACACACACAACACGCGCGCGCGCGTTTGTAAGATTAAACTCGTAACCAATACTTATTTAACTTCGTGCAGTGAATGAGAGTAATTAATCATTTACTCGCAAAATTTTATTTGCCTTTTTTATGATCAATGAGTCTTTGTGCACGTGTAGTTCTCAAAAAATATTTTTATTATATTAGAGCGGCGATATAATTCTCTACTTATTCACGTGCAAATAGATAGCTGAAATATAATTCTACGTAAAACTAGTAGCTGAATTGAAATTGTCAATTTAGCAGAAGAAGCATTTTAAAAATGAAAGGATGTGCTTGAAATCAGAACACACGTGTACGCATTGCATTAACTCAATTTTATTAACGGGCATTTTTCATTATTTTCATTTTTATTTTCATTTCAACTATTAAACGCTTAATTAAGATGCCTTGTTAAATTATAATCTCATGAAATATTATATTATGAACGTATTATGTAAATCCTTATCTGTAAACTAATAAGTAAATTTATAAACGTAAACTCTAGTCTTTCAAATCATCGTTCATATAACTAGTCGTGTAATTGTAGTAGTTGCAAGAACTTTGTTGGTATTTTATCTTTCAATATATAATTATGCGCCTTTGTTTTTAACGCCGTATCTTGGGACAACTAGAAGTAAATAATAATAATGATGATGATGATGATGATGATGATGATGATGATGATGATGATGATAATGATGATGATGATGATAATAATAATAATGTTTATGATATAGTTAGGAATCCAAATTCTTCTTTATTATCATATCAGAAAGAAAAATCTATAAGCATTACATTAGAGTTTTACTATGCTTTAATTAAGCAATAGTCAACTTTTTTCTATTTAAGCATTAATTCAGCTTGTGAGAACCAGTAAATTTACTGTAAATTACAACATATACAAAAGTATATTGCATTACGTATACAAGATAATATCTCACATAGTTTTTTCTTACAAATCGGGAGAACAAAAATAGGAACTTATTCTTAAATATTATCCAATACATATATATATATATATATATATATATATATATATATATATGTATTGGATAAGTATAAGAAATAATTAACTTAGTCGGGTTAAGCTTTGGTAAGTGACTCTTTTCTATCGACTTTGTATTATGTTTATGTACGGTATAGCAACCTTTAAAATTGCACTATGCATATATGTGCAAGTGCAAGAGGCGCCATGTGTTAAGTTCAACTAATAGGTCACATTCACATTGGTACATATGTACACTTTGTGAAAATGTTGGACGTTGAAATTCCATTAGCCAATAAAAAAATAGAAAAAACTTTCTGAACCATAATGTGCCAGTAGCTTTTTTCTTCATTAAAAAAACAAACGGTGTCCATGTATGCTTATTATAATAACTAATAATAATAATTTTAATTATTAACATTCGTAAAACATTCGTGTGATTAATATAAACTTAATGTATTGAACACATTCAACTTAAATGTAGATAATGGAAAGTTAAATTTCCAAGTTCACGCGGTCTATTTCATTGAATTTCAACGACTCTTTAAACATTTTTCACCATTTTACAGGCAAAACCAATAAAAATGTTTATTCGACAATTCAATTTGAGATTCTTTGAATTATATTGAATATAATTCAAATGAAACTGATAAATTAATTTGGACTCGCACCAATAGATTAGCTATAACATTGAATAGTTATAAGATTATTATTATACCTTTTTTTTTTTTTTTTTTTTTTCATAAAATTGGTTTATCCATTCTTGGGATGAAACATACAGCTTCTTCAACATTTTCTTTCATCATTTGTACTGTACACAATGTCCTGTACACAAATATCTTTTTGTTTGTAAATACTAAACGTATTGAATTACATTATCAGTCGACTGATCCAAACTGTCATTGTCTAAATCATTCATTTATTAGAGGGATGCATTCGATTTCGTCTCAGACGATTTCTTAATTCACAGCGACGTAATGTGTAAAAAAAATGCAATGCTATACTTTCCCTCCAATATGAACATCCTTACTAACTTTTACCTCGTAGGAGCTTCGATTATCCCAGAAGTTTATAAGTTAGCAAAGGCCGCATTCGTCCATGTCAAAGAAAACTAGGGAGAAGCTACGGGAGCACTTGGCAACGGGATTGAGTCGTCACCTTGTGACTTTCCATCGTAAGCCCCACCAACCGAGTCTCGATCTCTCATTCTTTACGCTGGCCCACGTGAAATCATATCCCGCGGGAGCATCCCCCGTCGGCAGCCTTCTACGTGGTCTGCGTAGCGTCTAACTGTCGTTGCTGCCGTTGCCGGCGTCGCTGTTGCCTCCACCACCACCACCACCATCGCCATCGCGATCCCCATCATCATCATAATCATAAACAGCATCATCATCATCATCATCATCATTATTATCGTCATCGTGGTCGTCGTCGTCATCGTCGTCACATCCTCCATCATCATTACTACTACCTCCATCACGACCACCACCACCACCACCACCACTAGCACTAGCACTACCACTACCACTATGATTACCACCACCACCACCACCATCATCATCATCACCACCACCACCACCATCCCAAATATAGCCATCACTTGCACAATAGCCATCAACATCATCAGCATCATCAGCAGCCGGACCCGGAAGAACAGCAGCAGCAGCAACAGCAGCAGCAGCAGCAACAACAACAACACTACCACCACCACAACCACCACCACTTCTACTACTATCATTACAACCACCACCGCAACTACCACTGTCAACATTATCACCACCATCACCATCACTACCACGACGATAACGGTGGTAAAGACAAGAACGATGACGGTGATGATGACGATGACGACGACGACGACGATGAGGATGAGGACGATTATTACAATGACAACAACAGCAATTACCACGATAAAGACAATGACAACAAAAACAACAGCTATGGATAATAACAACGATAACGAGAACGACCAACGGCAGCGGCGCAGCCGTCGCCGTCGCCGTCGTCACCACCGCCACCTCCGTGAATCTCGCGCCGACGCCGATACCGCCGCTACGTGTCGCCGTCACGACCGCTGTTGCCGCCGCAGCCGCCGCCACCACCGCCGCCGCCGCTGCCACCGCCACCGCCTCTCGTCCCGTCAACGGCATGCGAGAGCGCGGCAGGAGCGATAGTCTGCGCGCTCGTCATGTTGGCTAGGAGCGCGCGCCGCCGAGTTTCGTCGCCGCGAGCCCCGCAGCTGCAGCTCCGTGCGCCCATGGCCCGGGCCTCCTCCACGTGCCGCCAACTCGGACACTAGGAGAGTGCGCCCGCGCCCGCGTCTAGCCCCGACCCCGGTGTGTCCTCGTTATCAGCGAAGGTGCACCTCCGTGGTTTCCTCCAGGCGACATTGGCGGCCCGTTTCGCCCGCTGAGGCCCAGTTGAGTCGAGGAGCCGAGCCTCCGAGTTCCGTCCTCCGCGTGTGCCCGACGAGGACGAGCCACTAGCATCACGGGGGAGAGCAGTGCTTCCGTCGACTCCTCGCCACCACGACTTGGATGGATACCGTGCATTATTTCTGGAGTGAGTTCCTCTTGTTCGCCGACCCACGCCGCCTCCTACTTTGCCCTTTCTACGTTTTTTTTTTTTTTTTTTTTCACCCCCCGACGGCCCACAGCAATTCTATTTGCACGCCGGATCGCGTCTCGTGAGTTGCCGGTATGCCCATCCCATTGTTCATTGATCCTTTTTTGCGATTTTTTTGTTGCCCCGGGAGCGCATACAAATATAGATCGGAGCAGCGATCCGTGCGTGGACTACCGCTAATATTTGTTATTAGCTAGGTGGGAGCTTAGGGCGATGCTCCGGGTCGGAAAAACTTTGTACTTTGATTATGACGGGTTAATTGGCCGTTACTCGAGGTCGCTACATTGGCAAAATCACGTTTACTTCGGAGACCCCCCGCGAACGTAGTCTAGCAAATGACAATTACGCTTATGTAGCCTCGATGTATTTGCCTATATATATATATATATAAATACATACACACACAAGCGCTGCAATATTATCTTACAGGTAGTTTTTGATTATTTATTATTTATAGTCATCGGGTATGATTCTCAAGACCAGACATTATTGAATTCACATTTATTTCACGTTCGCGTTACACCAATTACATTTCAATTGATTAATTATTAATAACTTGCATCGATCGATAGTTCGACGACTGTACATGCGAATATCGCGCGAGTGGCATAATTCTAAATTGTAAAAGCACGAACAATAATGGAATAGAAAAAAAAAAAAATAAATAAAAGAAAATAATATTAATACATTAATAAAAATCAACAAAGTTCCTAATACTTGGTCGGACTTATATATAACATAAGCAAATAAATTATAATTTCCTCTTCGATTAATGAATACCTGAAGCGTATATTTATAGATTAAACTAATTATAGAAGCAAAGTTTGCTGACAATGAAAAAATCGAGCGAAAAGTCTCCGATACTTTAGACCATCCCGACTCACGTACCGCCGATATGTGCGTGACTTTTTTGCATGGCAGATGTTTTTTTTTCGGCTTTTTGTTTTTATTCACCGGCCGGTCGCGCGATTTGCCGAGTTCGGTGAAAGTTTTTCTTTATGACTCATGTAGTTTGTGAATTTGTTTTAAGTTTGCTTCATCAGCAATATTTAATTAAGTGTACTCGAGAATTTTTGCAGGCGGAATTTTCATTTTTTCACGTTTATTTTTATTTATTTTTATTTATTTTGTTGTATTGTTGTTGTTGTTGTTGTTGTTGTTGTTGTTTTTGTTGTTGTTGTTGTTGAAATTTTTGTCCTAATATATTATTTTTCAATTTTATATAATTATTTATATGAAAGTACATTATTATCCGTGGCATATTATTGGAGTATTTGGGAAAATTTGGCATATTACATGTTGCCTGAAAACTTCTCCGATTCTCCACGATGAAACTCCATTCCGTCGATTCCATTCTCTCGCCACTCAATGGCAAATTATCAATTCTTTTACAGTATTCTCTCTAATGTCTGAAAATAAAAAGCAAATGAAAGAGAAGGCTTTCCTATGTTTACTTATTAACTATCATCGATATCTTTATTCAAACGCTTATCGCAATGACGACGGGATTTTTTTTTTTAACGTTTGATTTTACCACATATCTTATCGTAGTTTTTATAATATTGTAATACAAAGAAACTCGTAAGACCATTGATAATAGGTTGTAAGCATGGCTAATAGACTGACTTGCTTGTGACTTATCCGTATGATAAAATCAATAAGCCAATTTTTATCAATTTAATCCAGTGCTATTAACACTAATATTTAACTTGTATAAGAAATAAATTAAGAGAGGAAAAAAAAATAAATACATAAAAAATGAGAGAAATAGAAGAAAGGAGAATGCTGAATCGTTGTTGCACAATTGTTACAAAAATTTACGTTACAAATTATTATCTTACCTTTCTAAAATTAATCTGTGTTCGTCGAATGCTTTAAGCGTCTAATTCCTTCCAATGCGTAATTATCCCGTTCCATTCAACCAACTTATACATGATATCATTCTTCTTTCACGAGAATAACACGAAGGAAAGAAGAAAAAGAAGAAGACAAAAAAAAAATATATATATATATATATATATATGTATACGGATTTGTGGATAAATTACGTTTTCACGATACGTGCATAGATAATATAATTACAAAAATATTACGAGATTCATATGTAGATAAACAATTATCAACAATTATCGTGCAGCTCGGCCAATCGTATGGCCACACAAATAAAAATAAAAGAGGCTTGCATTCATAAAAGGAGGGAAACACGCAATCGCGGTTCTCAATGCAAAACAAGTAAGTGCCGTTACGTACTCGAGTTCCTGATCAGATTCAATTTCTAATCAACTATGAAATAAATAATTAGCAAATTAATTAATAACAGTATATATTGGACGATTAGTTCAAAATACAGGCTGGTAATATTGATCGATTGTTTCGAGCTGCTTTTTGTGCAAAATTTTTTTTTTAATCGCCGTTATAAATTGTACTATTTAACTCAACGGTAAAATTCGGAAATTTATTTTTAGAACTCGAAATGCTAAAGACTTTATTGCCTCGTGTTCTTAGCCGCATAATGTTCCCCGTGCATGCATTTATATATATGAAATAGAAAAATAAAATTTTTAGAAATACTTCGTCTCCAAATTTTTACGGCAAAGGCTCAAACTCGGACGGATCGAAGCGATCAGCATAGAAGATTTTCATTGGAAAAAAATATCATCATTTATGCGAATCCCGTTCAATTAGAATAACGAGTTATAAAGTTTGATATTGAATAAGAATCGAGTCGAGATACAGTAGTACCCGAGACTATCGATAATCATACTTATTTGCGGGGCAGTGGCGTGAAAGATAATCTACCTCAAAGGTGTCATGCGCCATTTGCCCATGAACGTAAGTAAGGAGCGCTCGGTAATCAACTCGATTAAATGCGTATTTGTTTAAAAATATATCGGTACGGAATAATACGTGCCAATTGCATTACCAAAACATCTTATTAAAGTGCCGTCGCAAAATTCTTAGTAACGCTCGTTAGGCATACACATGGCAATAGTGTACTACTGACGAGGCGCATGCGCTCTCCAACTCTTTGGAAAAACGAATTCCCAAAGAGTTGTTATCTCGGGTGTTATTGGTGGCGAGGAGGGACCCGGGGGGGGGGGGGAGGGATGGCTTCGACGGCCACGACAATCGGTCGAGTTCCGAAAAACATAATTCAGCTCGCAGCAGCAGCAACGATATCGCGACTCGGGCCCAACTGGATTACGTAAGTTTAATCGACCACTTGACATCCGCTATCCGCGTGTCGTCGACCAAGGGGCGACCAAGCGACGGTACAGCACACCTCGATGCGACCTGGCACCAATGCTCTTACATACGGGAGTATACGTCACGGTGCCTCGGGGGGAGCGGTAACGAGACATTATGCTCGGCTGATTTGCGAGCGATAAAGCTGCGACGAGTCGGTCCCCTGGCCCCGCGGTCGCCCGGCCCCACGACTCGACTCCCACTCGCTCACGACTCCTTGGAAAAGTGTTGCGCACGTTTCGTGCATTCGCTAATGCGGCTGCTTAATATGTACAAGCGAGCCCTTTGCATCGGTAACTTTTATCCCCCCCCCCCCCCCCCCCCCCCCAATTCCTCCCAGCCGATGGTGGACTCGTCATCTTTAAAACACCTCCTCATCACTCTCCAAACCGAGCCGTGACCAATCCGACTATCTATATATCTATCAATCTTCGGCGGTACCGCGACACAACAACATCTATCCTCCAGCAAGACGAAGACAGAGTTACGTAATACCGCGATGCGACGAGAGGCCGTCATATGAAATAATAATACGCTTAAAAAACTGTTTTATAAGAATTATCGGATTCTCGTGAATCGCGCTTTGAGTGCACTTTCCCAGCTAAGACAGATTTCATTCTAAAATAAGTATATCGCATGGAGCAAGCACCGCAAAGTTACGCATCGTGCGCTGAATTTTAAATAAGTTCTCTCTCTCTCTCTCTCGCGAAGCATTCACCGTCTTATTTCGCTCATCTCTCTTAAAATTTCATAATTCAATACCACCCTTGCGTCCTTCTCGGAGCCTCCGTTCGCATCACATTCGCGCTTTCGCATTTTCATTCCAGCGTGCAACAGTGATTTATACGTATAGCGGGAAATGCACAAATCTTCGTTTCTAATCGCGAGGCATAAATACGCAGACACTCTAAACGCTTAGTGGGAAGTTTGAAGGAGAAATTTGGCGCGCACAGGACTCTCTTTATTCCTCTCTCTCTCTCTCTCTCTCTCTCTCTCTCTCTTTATCCCGCGGGCCCTCACCATCGACCCTGTCGACCTCTTTCCACGGGAGGGTCGCCCGCGTCGTTTGTCACAGCCAATACAAAAGCCAGGGCTGCGAAATTTCTTGGTCCGCTCGGGCAGTGAATTTCCCGGGAATTGCCGTTATAGCGCTACGCGGGACCGTATGGCCGCTCGCTCGATTATCGGTCCCGCGGAATTCTGAGCACCGAGATTTATGTCCCGCGCCGCTTGAGAATTATGGCGCTGAGATTGCGAGTGTGCTTGCCGCGCGTCTCTCTCCTCTCTCTCTCTCTCTCTCTCTCTGTTTCTCTCTCTCTCTCTCTCTCACTCACTCACTCTCTCACTCACTCACTCACTCACTCACTCACTCACTCACTCACTCACTCACTCACTCTCTCTCTCCTCTCTCTCTTTCTCTCTCACTCCCCCTCTCTCTTTCCCCCCTTCCCCTTGCCCACCACGACGACGGCTCTTTAAAATGCACTTTTATTTCGTTGCCGCGTAGTCCGTCTCGCGCGCCTTCTCCTTCTTTCTCTTTTCACCCCATTCGCTGCCAGTTGATATCGTCGTTGCCGTGCGCCACTGCCGACGAGCTCCCGACGGATTTAGTGCGCGAGATGCGTGCAAAGATAGAAGCGCATTCTGCGAGGCTTCTATATAGAGAGTCGAAGGCTCGGCAGGAGGCGCTT